CCTACCCAAGCAGAGACTGAGATGGCCAATATTTAAAAAGCCATCACTCCTTGAGGAGCACTGCCACCGCCCCGCTGTCGGCCACCCCACCCTGTCATGTCCCCTTCCCATCAGTGGGCTCTACAGGGACAGTCTGCTGGGGGCTGACCTGGTCCCATCCTGCACTCCCAACACAGGCCTCTCTCCCCAAACCCGGCCACCACTCACAGGAGACGGGCCCCAGCGGGCAGCACAGCCCTCCTCCCCCGCTCCAGGGGGAGCACGCAGACCCTGGGCTGACATGCACGCCACGAGGGTGTGCAAGCCCCTCCACAGGGATGTCCCACCAGAACACGGCTTGCCAGAGTCACCCAGGCTGAGAGGCGGTGGGCACGGCCCTGTGCCCCAGGGCTGTCCGACAGGCTGACCTGCGGCGCTCCCTTCACTGGACACATACGAGCAAAATATTTAATACTTCACATGGAAGAAGAGCCTCCCCCACCAGTGAGCCGAGCCCTCCCTCAGTGACTGGGGAGCCGATAAAAACAGGAAACCCCAGAGCTGACGCAGAGTGAGCTCTCAGAGACTGGCCGACGGCGACCGAGCATGGCCTGTGAGGGCCAGGACCCCGGGCAGGAGGCCGGCGCGTGTGGTGCACACAGACCGGCGCCGAAGCGGCCTCCAATCCGAGCCACAGCACAGGCAGGCAGGGCACTGGGGAGGGTGAGAGGTGGGCAGGGTGTGGGCGTGGTTTCCTGACCCCAAGGAGGCTGCCCCGAAACCATAGCAGACTTGGACCTCCGTGGCAGTGGGCGGGGCCCCCTCCACAACCCCGAGTCCCACGCTCGGGCGAACAGACCAAACTCCCGCAGAGAGGGAGTCTCCGGTCAGAGGCAGAAATGCCACAGGCCGCCCCCATGGGGCCAGGGGCCCAGGAGAGCAGTGAGGGAGCCCACGCAGAGGCCAGCCAATCAGCGCCCACCCCGCCTGGCACACCAGAGTCTGCTTCAGGGCTGTGTGGACAGCAGGGACCGCTGCGTCCTCAGCTCTCGGAAGGCTGGGGACCAGCCTGTGCGCTGGGCTTTCCCAGGTGACAGCACTGCACACTGGGCTCAGGGTCCAGGTCCCCTCCCTGCCTCCTGGGTGTCTGCACCTCGGCAATCCTTGGAGGCCTGAGTCTGGCTGCTCCCCAGGAGGTCAGTGTGGCTAGAGAAGGTGGCATGGCTGGGAGGCCAAACACAGGTGTCCAGGGAGCCAAGGAGGGGGTCTTTGGGGAGAAACAGGTAACCAGGAGTGTGCTGCGGGGCGGGGCGGCCCCCGGGCACGGTCGGCGGTTCTTTGACAGGGCCAACAAGAAGCCACCACACAGCTGCACGCCCCTCTAGGCCTGTGCCCGGGGACAGAAAACGCACATTCATGCAAACACTGGCACGTGTGCTCACAGCAGCGCTGTTCCTAGCGGCCAACGTGGGGCCAGCCAGGTGCCCCTCACGGGAGGGAGGCCACCGACGCCGGTGTGTCTTTGAGGGGACAGTGCTTGGCCCTGAGCAGGAGAGCAGCTCTGACACGCACCCAGGTTGAAAGCAGGCCGGTGGCAGAAGCCAGACGTGAAAGGCCTGAGTGGCTCCATTTGTGTGAAACGTGCACGACAGGCTAACCCCCAGCAGCGGACGGGAGACTGAGGACTGCCCGGGGTGGGGGCCAGGAGGTGGGGAGCACAGGGGTGACAGACAAGGCACGCCAAATTTCTTTCTGAGGTACAAAAATGTCCTGAAAGTGGCTGGCGATGGTTGCACAACTCTGAGGACACACTAAACCACTGGTGCTGACACTTACGCGCTGAAGTGTGTGGTGTGTGTGACGGCCACCCCAGTGAGGCCATCACCCGACAAAGTCCTCGAGGAAGCAGAGGACCTAGTCACCAGAGGCTCTCTGGCACGAGGCCCCGGTGGCTCCCAGCAAGCCCAGAGATGGAGGGCCAGGCAGAGCAGGGAGCAGAGCAGCAGGAGGGGCCGTGGGGTCCAGGGAACTTCCAGGGTGAGGCTGGAACTAGGGCCAGGGGGCAAAACGGGCGGGACAGGGAGGAGAGGGACAAGGGCCCCAGGTGCGCCCACCCTGCTCGGCCCAGGGACAAGGCTCACGGAAGGACACCTGTTGCCTGCAAGGCCCCGGGCGGCCTGCAAGCTCGCTCTCGGCTCAGCAGAGCCCAGTTGCACAACAGGGCTGCAACCCCAGGGCGGAGGGCTGCGTGGGGCTGCACGAGCAAAAAGGGAAACCAGCCCAAGGCGGACTCCGAGCTCTGAGCAGGGAGCGGACGGGGCCTGGCAGGCAGCCGCCCAAGAGCGAGCTGTGCTCTCAGAGCCCCACCGCCCGGCTGGGCCTCCTTCCCGGGAAACAGCCTGACCATGTAAGGGCGGCCCTGCTCCGAAACCTCGGCCTGTGAGAGTCCCCCGTCAGCTCACTCCCAGCGGCGATGCACGGAACCCAGGGCTAGAAACCTCACTTGTCAAAACCCAGCCGTGCCACGCAGAACCACGAGGTGTGCGGCGCCGGCCACCCCTCCCAAGCAAGGGAGTTTCCCTGGGGCTACTGAATGGCCGAGGGCTCTCCGAGGGCAACCTGCCGGGCACCCCAGCCAGGGGGAGGCCGTGCAGGCTTGGGAAGGGCTACGGCTGGGACAGAGGTGCCCGCAGCGGGGGCCAGGAGACCTGGCGAGTGTCCCCTGGTCACAGCTGCATTCACAACCACACAACACGCCGGTCTCCTCTCCATCCCAGCGTGGGCTGAGTGGACTGGGGAGCTCTCCCCAGGGCGTCTGAGGGGCGGTGCCGGCACCGTTCCCCCATCTAATGGAACGTTCTCGGCTTCGGCCTTTCTGTGTCACCCCACCGAGACGGTGAACGCTGGTGGCTGCAACCCACACAGCAGCGACTGTTTGGGGCCCTCCATGATTTTTAAGACGGTAAGCGGCAAAAGTTGGAGAACCAACGCATTGTGGGTATTTACGACACCCTCGGCTGTCATCACAGGATGAGCTGCCACCAGAGGGGCCCTCCGTGGGCAGTCACGTGGCCCGGCTGCTCCGGGGGACACGACAGAGCCCCGAGTGCTGACGGGGTGAGGGCGGGATGTGGGGGCCAAGCCCGGCTCAAGTCCTCGTCCAGCATGTGAACGGGGGTCCCCTGGGGAGGGAGGAGGGAACGAGGGAGGATGACAAACGCTCCAAGGCAGAAACGCCCCCACCCCTGTGCACCCAGGAAAACAGTCCTGCCCAGCAGGGCCCTTCCTCCTGGATCCGCCACCCACGCCCCGGCCACAGCTGCAGCTGGGTCTCCCAGGGGCCGACCCTGTGGCCTCCCAGGCCTCGGCCCTGGGCTCAGTCCTGCAGGGGCGGGGGCGCCAGCACATCGCCTCCACCAGCCAGGGGCCCAGGCGCCACAGTGCCCTTCGCTGACACCACCGCATCCACGCCCGGGCTGCTGCCACACACCGAGTCGCCGCCTGGACGCTCTCCGCCGGACGCGCCGGCTCCGTGCCCACCCTGCCGCCCTGGGCCACGCGGCAAGCCCTGGGGCGTGTGCAGACGGCACCGCCGTACCAGCCCTCCCACCCGAGACGTCCTGCAGAATGAACCTGTGCCCCGTCTTCGGAACAAATGTCCCTTCCAGAGGCAAACCCAGTGCAAAGCTCCACACAGCCTCTGAAAAAACGGCAATGCAAAGACAACGTGTCGCTAACCAGAAGTGAGTCGAGCGGCCAGTCCAGGGTCAACAGAGCGGTGTGTGCGTGTGCAGCCGGAGGACGACAGAGCGGCCGGCAGCCAGGAGCAGCGCGACGCCTCTCCCGGGAGCCTCTGCCCGCTGACCCTCCGGCCCAGACGCCCCGGGGACCGCGGCGGCTAATGGTCTGAATCATCCCGGCAAACCCCGCTGCTCCGGCGGCGGGCGGGCGGGCGGGCGGGCGGCGCGTTCCTGGAAGGCCGAGAATAGCACGCTAAATATACAGACGCACACCCCTCGCGGCGCTTCCGAGGGGAGCTCGCAGGCAGACCGGGAGCGCGCCGGAGCCGTCGGGGGCCGCGGCGCAGCGCACGCGGCCGGTCTCCAGCAGCGAAGCGGATGCCGGGCTCCTGGAAGTTGAAATAAGACAAACACGAAGGCAGCGCCCGCCTGGCTCCGACCAAACCCCACCCGGGCGGACGGGCTCCGCTCAGAGACGCCCCGGGCCGCCGGGCAGAGAGCGAGGGCCTCGCCCGCGCCCCGCCCCCCGCACCCCCCCCCCCCGTCCCAGGCGCCTGGTGTCCGGCTCCACGGCCCCCCCCGGCCGCCGGGGCCCCGGGGTGCCGGCACCGCCGCCCTCGACCAGCAGCCGGGAGCTGCGCGCTGCCCTCCTGGGCCGGCGCCGACGGCGGGGAGCCGGCCGGGAACTGGGCCGGGCGGGCCCGCGCCCCCCGCCCCCACCCCCACCCCCGGCGGCCGGGAGGCCGCGGCCCCACGCGGGCGGCATCCCCTTCTGGCCGGGGCCGGCGTCCCGGCGTCCCCCTCCCTGCAGGAGCAGCCGGGCCCCCGGGGCTTCCCGCGGGACCCCCCGCGGGAGCCAGGGCGACGCCGAGGCACGGAGGCCGCGCCGGCGCGCTGGGACGGGCAGGGGCGCGGGGCGGCCGCCGGAGGCCAGAAGTCAGGCGCCGGGCCCCGGGGACCCCCGAGCGGAGCTGAGGGCGGGGGCGGGGGTGCCCCGGGGCCCGGCGTCCAGGCGGGGCTCCGGGCCCCGGGCCGGGGGTTCGCGCGCGCAGGGCACGGGTGCCGGCGAGCTGAAGCCCGCAGCTCCGGGCGCGGGGCGCGGGGGGCTCGGTGTCCGGGTCCCAGGCTCCCAGGGCTCGGGGCTCCGGGCCGGGGGTTCAGGGTCCGGATCCCGGGGCTCAGGTCCGGGTCCCGGCGTCCCGCGGCCCCGGGGTTCCGGGCCGGGGCTCAGCGTCCGGGGTCCCGGGCTCGGGGCCGGGCCGGCGCCGCCGCGACACTTACGTCGTCGAAGAGGGAGCCCACGTTGGCCGTGACCAGCAGCACCGCGGTGCCCGGGGCGGCCGCCTTCCCCGCCATCGTGGCCTGGCCGGCCGGCCGGTGTCCGCGGGCCGCGCGTCAGCTGCGCCGGGGGGCGGCCCCGGGGCGCATCGCGGGCTCGGCGGGTCGGGCCGGGCCTGGCCGGGGTCCGGCCGCGCGCTCGCTCGCTCTGGCTGCTCCGCGGCCCGCGCCCGTCGCTCTCCGCCGGCGCCTCAGCGCGGCCCGCGCGCAGCCATTAGGAGCGCCGCCGCCAGAGTCCCGCAGCGCCGCCGCCGCCGAGCTCTGAGGCGAGGCCCGCTCCGGGGCGGGGGCGGGGCGTGCGCCGGGGGCGGGGTCTGGTGGGGGCGGGGTCTTAGAGGGCGGGGCTGTTGGGGAGACCTGCGAGGGGCGGGGCCAACAAGGGGTGATCCTGAGTTCGCCGGGACTGCGTCGGCTGGCGCTCCTGTCAGTCAGCGGCCGCCCCGCCCCATCCTGGTCCCCTCCCCCTCGCGCCGTTACTGCGCGCTACTCCGCCCTCCGCACTGCTGTGACGTCACGGCCCCCGGCTGGGACAGTGCCTCTTAAAGGGGCCGCGCGTGGCTCCGCGTCTCGGATGGGCCTCGGGCCCTCCTTCCAGCGGTAACCGTGTGCAGGGCGGAGCCAGCTCTGCGGCGCCCCCGGAATCCCGTCGGGACCCTCTGAAGTGAAAGGAAGAAGAGACCGGGCTGGGGCGGGGGGCGGTAAAGGCCGGGCCTGGGTGCAGCTAACCCAGGTGGGGCCAGGAGGGCAGAGAGGCCAGATCAGGCCCCAAACGCCCGGCTGGCGAGGTGGGTGAGGCCTGGTGCAGGGGCGCCACCCCTGGAAACGAGTGGGCCCCACATTTGTAAAGCTAAATGTCCTGACAACTGTACGTACAAAATGTAACAAGCAACTCCTACAAGTAACGTTGTTGGTACACTTGACTCAACCGTGAGGCACAAGTACCAATCACAGGTAACCGATCCGAAACATCTTAAGGGCGCTTTCCAAACCGAGACCCAGAGTCCGTATGGGATCCCGCGGGGCATGATTCCAGGGCGCACCGCCACATGCGGGCGGCCGCCCAGCTGGACAGGGTGGCTCCCAGAGCTAGGCGGGCACAGTGGAGGGATGGGAGCGGCCCCGAGAAGAGACGGAGCCCCTGGCACGGGGCCCCGGCCAGGCCAGCCTTCAGCTCCCAAGTAAATGGCCGCGCCCCATGACGTCGGGAGACAGGAGCGCTGTTCCGTGAAAACAGTTGGGCAGACACCACCTATCCACCAGGGCTGGGGACACCGCTGGCTCTGTGGGCCACCTGCCCTCACTGAGAAGCCACCTTCTCTCCTTGCCAATCCATCCAAGGACCCTGCTTACAGTGGCACTGAGCATATATACCAAAACCATTGGATTTAGAGACCAGTGTCTGACTCCAGCGGGTATGGGCCGTGGACTGAATGGTGTCCCCCAAATTCATAGGCCAGGGTGAAGCCCCAACCCCCAGTGTGGCTGTGCGTGGAGACAGGACCCATAGGAGGCAATTAAGGTCAAGTGAGGTCACAAGGGTGGGGCCCTTTTCCAATGGCAACGGTGTCCTTACAAGAGACCCCAGAGCACGCACTGGCTCCCCACATCCCCCCACCCATGAACAGGAGACCAGGAAGAAGCCACGTGAACACACAAGAAGGCACCATCTGCAAGCCACGAGAGAGCGCTCTCACCTGCAACCAAACCCTGCGGAAGCCTGACCTTGTACTTCTGGCCTCCAGAACCCTTTGAGACACATTTCTGTTGTTCAGGCCACCCAGCCTGTGCTATTACGGCCACTGGAGCTGATGCAGCATCTTTTGTTTTACTTTCTACGAAGCCGGCACATGCCAAGGGCACCCTGGGTGGAAACCAGAGGCGGGGGCATCAGGGAGGCTTGGAACCGGTCTCCTAAGCAGCAGCATTGCCGCCTCCCCGCCCCTCCGGCTGTTTTCTCCCTCACACCCTAGCACTCCCTGGCCAGAAACATGCACGCCTGCACACGCACAGACTCGCTTCCTGTGAGGCTGCGCCTAAATTAGCAAAACTAAACGGGGGAACTCGGAGCCCTGGGCCCCTGGGGTCCCTCAGATTTGGGGGCATCCTCACCAGCTCCGGGCCTCCAGCCTTCTCTACACGGGTGCTCTCATCACCCTCAGTTGTCTTTTCACCCCTTCCCATCTCCAAGTCACCCACGGCCATCCCCACCTGGCGGACACCCCTGCCCTTCACCAAGGCAGACTCCGTAGTCTGACCTCTTCCTGCTGCGTTGGCAGGCCCACCGCCATGGGACGGCCACCGCGCCTCCGCCGTCCGGCCTCCACCTCCTGGGTCTGTCATCAGCTCACATGCAGGCCACAATGTCTCAGAGCCCCTAAAATCCCCCTTCGCCTTGCACCCCTCGATTTGTATCCCCACCCCGTCGCTCCCCTTGCAGAGAATCGTCTCCTAAAATTGACTAGTCTTTGCCCAGCGTGCCACCTCCAAACCCTGTAACCCACTCCCACCGGGGCCACCCTCACTGCTGCCACTGGCCCTTGCGCCAGCGGCCAGTCCTCACTCCCAGTCTCCCCTAACTGTCAGTGTGATTGACACACCTGGTGCCCTGCAGGAAGCGGGGCCTTCCCTGGAGACCCCACACCTGCACCCTCTGTCCTCCCCTCACTGCCCAGCCCCCTCAGCCTCCTGTGCTGGCTCCTCCCGGTGCCCTGCCCCCCGTCCTGGGTTTCTGGGTGGTCCTGGTGACTCCCTCCCTCCCTGTGGGGACTCCCAGCTGGCCAACTTCTCCAGACCCGCCCCTGAGACTGCTCCCATGTGCCCAGCCAGCCACTGCCCTGGGAAGGGCATCTCAAACCCAGCGGCAGGTTCCAGCTCCACCCTCTTCCTCCACTGCACCAGCTTGCTGCCTGTGGGACGCGTGGTCAGCTCAGAGCCACTGGCTCCAAACTCCCCTCCTCCACTGGACCTCCCTGCCCACTGCACCCCGTGAGCCGCCCTCACCTCCCCCATCTCACTGTGGAGGCCCGGGCAGCCTGAGGGCCAGGCCTCGGCAGTCTGATGGGGCCCGCCACGGAGGAGCACTCAGTCAGCCTGCGCCACGTCGTGACTCAGAGCATCACCGTGCGCTGCCCCAACTTCAGACAGATCGCGACCGCCGACGTCGCCCACGTGAAAAGCCACATTCACGCAATTGTGGCTGCGAATCCTGGCTGAGAAGGTGGCTTTCTTTTCCTGAAGGCCCTTCTTCACCTTTGGAATGTTGCCCCATGTCGGTGTGTTACCTTTCCCAAAATAATAACAATAATAAGTTTTGCAAAGCCCTGCTGGCCCCCCCACCCCCGCCCCTGGCATCCAGACCCAAGCATCAGTGCAAGAGGGCAGGGCGGGGGGGGGAAGGCAGCCAGAGCCCGGACGTGGGTTCCACAGGAGGGGCTAGCCTGCTCTGCCCCAGCCACTCTCTGGGCTCCCACGGGGACACAGACGCAAGACTTTTGTTAAACAACAACTTGCTGTAAGCCTTCTTTGGCCATGGAATATCACATTGTTGCTTAGGTTAAGACAGTAGCCAATATATTTATGGATTCAGATATCGGACAGTTGAGAGGTTTACAGCTGGGAATCCTCATCCCCAGGCATGCTTAGAAGTTCTCCTTCAGCAGGTGGACGGACAGATGGACGGACAGACGGCACTTTGTACTTGCAAAGTGTGTTTCAATGCTTTAGCCATCAATTTTCAACACTCCCGTCAGGTGGGCCAACCGCGCCCCATTGTGTCTAAAAGCACGGGTTCAATGACTCCTTCAGGTTACTTTTCTGCTGCAGGAAGCCCGGCTGGACACAGAGGGAAAGGAGCCCAGAGCTCTGTCCTCGTTGTGACGGGCTGGGCGCAGTGGCTACAGCCAGAGGTACGTTGCCATCGGGAAGTTAGTGGGCAGCCCATGACCTGACCTCAGACCCGTCCGGGACAGGGAGGTTTCTTCCCCTCTGAGTTCTCTGGAAGCTTCTTCCCATCCATCAGCTCAGCAACAGCTGTCACAGCAGGACCCGACCAGGTGAGAGGCGCTTTCCTTCGTTTCCAGTCCTCCCTGCAGTTGTGTGTTTTACAGGTAAGAGAGCCGGGGCTCCAGGGTTAAAACGCTGGCCAGCTGTTCACAGCCTGGAGGTGCACAGCCAGGAACAGAGCCAAGCCAGGCCCCCGAGCCCAGCTGGTCCCCAACAGCCCTGTGCCGCTTGGACCTCAGCCGTCCAGCCGCTCACATCCTCACTCGCTGGCTCATCCCGTGGGCATCTGTGCAGCACCTTCCCTGTGCTGCGCCATCCTGAGCACCTGGGCGGAAGGCTTCCTGGGTGGAAGCTGGGGTTCCTGCAAGAGAACAGGCAAGAAATGCATGAGGGCCGCTGACTGGGTGGCACTGGGGCCACTTCCCGGAAGTGTGCCTGTAGAAGCCACACGCTCATCAGAGAGTGCTGGGAACTCGAGAGCAGCCCGCAGGGCCGGACACGGAGGCGCGGCCACTCCCGAGGCCGCTCCACGCAAACCTCGCTCCCACTGTTCTGGTGGTGCGTCTGTCCGGTGTCGCTCACACTGGCTTCCCCACTCGGGCCCTCTGATTGGCCCTCTGATCGCCTCTGCCTGCTGCTCTGACCCCTTTTGGTAAACCCAGCATTGTTATGTAAATGTTTTCCTTTTTTGAGATTTTATTTTACTCGCTTTCAGAGAGAGGGGAAGGGACAAAGAGAGGGGAAAAAAATTCATATGTGAGAGATAACATCAATTGGTTGCCTCTTGCACTCTCCCTACTGAGGACCTGGCCTGCAACCCAGGCGTGTGTCCTGACTGGGAATCGAACCTGCAATTCTTTGATTTGCAGGCCGGCACTCAATCCACTGAGCTACGCCAGCCAGGGCTATAAGTGCTATCCGCTACGCCTGAAAACTTTCCGGCTCGCACCACCCTCGGTGCTGTCAGATGATGGGCCTGCTCTCAAGGCGAGCTCAGGACGGGGTGTCCTCGTCACCCCTGCGGTCAGTGCCGGCCTGAAGCTCTCGCTGGGCAAGAAAGGAAGAAGAGGACACAAAGGCGCACAGAGTGGGAGGGAAGAAGCAAAACTACCTTCGGTTGCAGGCAACTTTATCATCTGCAGAGAAAATCCTAAGGAACCTACCAAAAGTGCCACTAAATAAGTGCATTTGACAGGGTCAGGGAACACAAGTCCATGCTGAAAAATTAACCGTATGGCTACATGGCAGGAA